AGGGATCCGAACCGATCCGTATTGCTTGCTCTGGGTGGCTGGGTGTATTGTGTATTTTTCTAATGGATGATCCTCCTTAGACTTTTTTGGAGTTCGAACCAACTCTGGGGCTGCGGTGATTTGGTGGTAGATCTGCTGGCGCAAAGTGTTGGCGACAATTCTGGTTGAGCCCGTGCGCATGATGAATTTAACAATACCGTGGATGGTTGACGGTATTGCTTGCAATCGAAAAAGTGTCGGGTGTCCCAGCAGTATGTTTTGCTTCGACGGGTAGCGTATTACAAAGAACTCGATTGCTCGCGTTATGCTCTCTTTCCTGTTATGACTGACTAGCGTGAACTGTAGATTTATGGTGCCTAATGGCCATAGGCTATGCCCTGTGAAGCCCACCAGTAGGCCTCCCGTTTGTGGCTTCAGATCTTCTTTCCAGAGAGGCTAGCAACTGTCTGAAGCAATGCTCATACAGGATGTTGGCGTTGCTGCCTATGTCTATGTAGACATGAGGAATCTGCTTTTGGCGTATGAAAGCAGTGATGAGTGGATCCATGGGGTCCCAGTTGTGAGGTTTTGGGTCTGCTGACGAGAAGTTGATGCCTATGATAATTTGAGATAGCTCGTCTACCTCGTTCGTTTGGTGGCGTTCGCGCCTGTTACGCAGTTTCTTGATCGTAAAGGTTTCCCTATGTTCTTGTTGTTCGCCTGTATGCTGTCGAGATTTGACTTTCTTCATGCTTGTACCATGCTTGGCCAAATAATCAGTTTTGGTAAGCGTTGTGGTGAAAAGTTCTGTTGTGACGGATGATTGATGTCTCATGTTGGATGTACCGTTCGCCACGAGGCAGTGTGCCGACACCCTTCGTGTTTTACTAGAGGATCGCTCTTCTGGTACAGGTGAACCAGTGTCGTCGAGGGGTGACACAGGCCTGTCTGTGCTAGGTTCACCACTATCCGACAACACAAAGTCTCTATCCGCCATTGCCAAAGTCTAGTGTTGTTTTACAAATTGTGTATCACAAAGTACACACCCAGATGGCGCCAGATGTTGTAATATCTCGTCGGGACTTAACACTGCTTCTGGATGTCTTGACAAGGTTAAGCCTGAGAATCACATCACAGAAAGAAAAGACGTTAGTCATTGTCCGGGAGGGGTTCCCGGAGCGAGGCTCCAACGGTCTAGTCAGTAAACAGATGAGAGAATTAGGGTTTAACTTAAAATAGAGAAAGAGGCGATCCCTTCTCTTGGAGGAGAAGGTTTCTATTTATACTTGTCATCGTGGGGACAGGGTCCTAGCAATACATTTTTGTCCCTTTTGAGCCGACAGGACGTGGTGACGTCCTATTGGCGGATCGTGCTCCGCTAGTGGTTATCCGTTATTAGTGCATAATCTTCAAAGGGTAGCGCCTTGAGCACTACACCTATCGCTATGGGAGGCGACTGGTACTGTTTTGTCTTGTTGTTGACTGGGGTTTCTTATCCTGGAGTCGACCTCGGCGTTAGAGCGCCGATGGATAAGTACTAGGCCGCGGGGGCGAGGGCCCGGACCCGACACTAAACAAGCGACGATCATTGACCAGGTCGTCTTTAGGCGATGATTCCGTTATCTTTGGCGTATTCCTAGTGGGATACGTTAATAGTGAGAAAGATCCCAAATGGATTAAAACGCCAACATCGTCGGAGGTATAATCAAAGAGGCCGCACAATTCAAGTTCATTTGACGTTTCCGACACACAAACTAACATTGACCTCAACGCCGACACCGATGTCATCCCCGACGAAGTCGAAAAGATCTCCCTTCATGACCACCGGTCGGACGCAACAAAGCGAAGAGCGCTCACCAACATGTTGATGAAGTTGAAAGAAGAGCATAAGAGTTGGGGGAAATGAAAGAAAAGTTCGACACATACAATTTAATAGCAAAAGAAAGAGTCGAAGTACATCGCTAACACTTGAAATTCATTCGCCATCAAGTAGAGGAAGATCAAATGACGAATGATTTAACAATTTTTCAGACGAGCGAGGAAGATATGTCGCTACGAGATCTGGAAGTGCTTCATGTGATGAAGGAGAAGATGCGCAAGAGATATTTTGACTAAGACTATCTTTTTATGTTTTGAAATTAGGACTATCATATTTTTTGCATTCAATGTTATTTATTATTTTTTTTTTGTAGTGTTATTTTTAGTTTTTAAATGTTATGTTTAATTTGGGATTTAATTAAATAACATGTTTTGTTAATCTACATTTGTTTTTATAAATATTATAATATAAATAAAAAAACTGAAAAAAATAGAAAAAAAATCAAAAAGAAAAAATTGCGAAATAAAATGACGACATGGAAATTAGTGGGTGTTATAATATGTTGCCTATTTTTTAAATTGGTGTTATAACACCATGATTGACATGCCATGTGAGATCGCAACTTTTGATGTGATAATATACGTTAACATGTTACCCACATCTAATAGTCTTACTGTAGATTCGGTTTGGGTTGCCGAAAAAGGATGTGCCGAGAAGAAGGGAACGTGAAGCATGGAAGGATAGGAGGTGAGAGTAGTATCATTATCACAGCTGATGGTGGGCTAAGTATATTGTCAACGGCGGTCCAGTGGTATCACCGATGATGGGTTATAGGTATAGAGATCGCGTTTCGTAAGGAGTGGGTGAGGCCCATTTCAATTTTAAAATTTATAAATTATAGATAATAAATAAATTAAAAGATAGATATAGAAAAGTGATATAGTGATTTAATGTTTGACATGAACGAAAACTATAATAAAAATATACTATAGAATTGAACCGAATAAAGAAATAATAGTGACGAAAGATGTAATTTACCCCCAGATCACGGACGATTTTTATGATTTACTCAAATTGTTTTATATTATGTTTTCTTTTTTCTTATTCTCTGATATCGAAGAATACACGCAAATAATATGTATATGTTACTTTCTTAGATCACATAAATGTTTGCACAGGATGTCTGACTACAAGTCAACAACATTGAATGTATGCCATTGACATTAGGTTTGGTGCAGATGGATAATAATAACTTTCTATTAAATTTTGTTGGTTTAAAAACCACATTTATTGTATTTTAGAGTAAATTAGAATATAAAAACATAATTATTTTTGGTATTCTTATGTAGAATGTTTACATGTGTGTGCAAACTTTACAAATTCTTAACGATTTCGTTAGTTGTTTGTTCGAACGTTAGTTGCATACTGTTAGGGCTTTTATTTATGAAAAGTAAAATGAGCCTTTAAGTATATATAATTTATATATAAACAAAATTCATTAACACTACAATAAAATTCATATCTAATAGATCGTCCCTAATTATATTAGTGACTAATAAAAAAAATTTGCTTATTTATAAATAATCAACGACGTAAACCATTAGAGAAGTCACCTGAATTCAATTGATTAGTGACAAATTTCCAACGAAAATTTGCATTTGTGTAAAAATACCGCGCTCTCTTGAGGATACGTGCCTATACGGTCTCACACCCTATGCCTTCTTAGGATCGACCTGGATATTGTCTTTATATTTATAAGAGCATTCATAATTGTCCCTTAATTTTGGTGTTAATATACTTTATATCCTTTGATTATGTAATCCCTTAATTACATTTTGTCTTTATCTATTGTTATATGAGTATGGGGTAACATATATTTTGATTTTGTTCTTAGGTAGGCTAAAAGGGAGACCTTTTTACATGTGATACGACCAAATTCAATAAACAAAGGGATAATGACTTGATAGGGTAAGTTACTTTTTTAAATGTACACATTTAGTTTTTTTTTTTTTTTTTTTTGTAAATTAAACCCTTATACTTTATTAATATGTACACAATATGTCCTTTTGACCGGATTCTATAGGTTTTGCTGATGTGGAAGTACACGTGGCACTAAAAACAACTGCATACCAATTAATTAGCTTAGTCACTCCTTATAAACGAATGTTAACATCCAAAATCAGGAGGAATCACCTTCAAACTCGAACACATAGTAGATAAGAGAAGTAGGGAATTCGTAGAAGAAGAAAGAAGATGTCGAGTGGCTCAAGAATCTCCACAGGTTCAAGCAGTCACAAAGTAGATAAGGAAGTCCTCTGTGATTGTGAACTCCCTTCAAGAATTCGTACCTCCAATACCAAAGATAACCCTGGAAAGAAATTCCGAGTGTGCCCTAACTCATTGGTAAATACCTAAATTGATTTTATTTGTCAAATCGCATCAATTTTCTTTTTCTTACCTTCTATGTTGTTGATTTTATTACTACAGAAACCAGGGAAAAAGTGTAAATTTTGGGAATGGATTGATGAAGAACCTAAGAATATGAAGCCCATTGCAGAAGATACTCTTTCAGATGTTGCAGATTATCTTATACAAGTTTTAGAGGATGTGGCATCTGTTAGAGAAGAAGTGAAACAGTTGAAGGTTATGATTTGTGTACTGATTCTGCTGGTCATTGTTAAGGTTATGTTTTGGGGTTGAAGATATGCTTCTGGAGGTTTTAGGGGATTTTGATGTAATAGACTTGTTGTGTAATTCTTGTTTATGTAATGGATGTTGATGTACTTTATGTTTATATAATGGTAAAGTTTATTGCTATTATGGATGTTAATGTAATTAAGTCAGTCAAATGGAGGTAAAACCAAGACAAATTACAGGAAATGTTTTTTTATAGACAATTGGATGTAAAGACAAATAAAAGTGGCTGACAAAAGGCATCAAGCCATTTAATAATTACAAAAGATAAGCCCACCAGGAGGGGTAATACAGTAATTTAGTTCAAAATATTCGACAAGTACATCAGAAGTAAACAACTAGTAGGGGTAATATAGTAATTAAGTTCAAAAGATTACCCCACAGTACATCAAAATATATATCACATGCATTACCCCACTACACCAAAACCTAATTACTCTAAGGTCACAGGTTTGTCTTGGCTGCATCCAGTTCCATCCTTGAGTTTAACATTTTTCTGAAGACCAATTTATGTGATTCTTTCTGAAAACTTTCTCACCCTACCAACATCATTCAAAGGAACCTTCTTCATAGGACTTCTCTTCACAGGAGCCTTCTTCACTGGAGCTTTCTTCACAGGAGTTCTCTTGACAGGAGCTGAAGTTGATTGACTTGGACCTGCTGTGCTTGAAGCTGAAGTTGATTGACTTGGACCTGCTGTGCTTGGAGCTGGAGTTGGCTTACTTGGGCATGTGGATTTGTTGTTGCCAGTTTGGTGGCAAATGGTATATCTTAGAGGAATGCCTGCCCTTGACACAGTAAGTCTTGTGTGCCCACTTAGCTCTCTTTCTGCCTGATCTTTTTTCCTTTTGACACATGGCCTGCCAGGTAACCTCCTCTTTAATGGAGGCAAAATAGTATGAAGTCCTTCAACATGTGGCCACTCAGAACTGTCATTGAGTGGGTGGATGTTATATTCATAGCTACTAAGGAAAGAGGCTTTAGTATAGGAGTTTGATACAAAAGCCTCCACATCTAGGTTCAATGATTAAATTGCTGATATGACATGTACACATGGAATGCCTGTGAGTTGCAGCTTCTGCATCCACATGCCCTCTGATTCAGATCAACAACATACCTTTCATTTCATGAGAACACTTCAAATTCTTTGTAGCCACTCACATAAGGTACCCAAAATCTGTCAATATACAAGAAGATAGTCAGTTATCATTATAAACCAATGTATAACTAATGAAATTGTTACTAACCTTTGCAATTCTTTCAAATCCTCTATCTCCCTTCTGATACTTGGGCATCTATCCAAATCCCAACTCAAACCATTTTGCTTCTGCATCCATAACCTCTGCATTGCCCAACATCTTATGTCCTCCAACATTGTTATCAATGGTTTCCTTCTAGCATCAAGTACAACAGAATTGAAACTTTCAGAAACTCTATTCTCTACTGCATCACAATCCATACCCTCTCTAAAAAAAGCCTTTGACCAACACCTTGGATCCCTGTCTATGAGATAGTCATAAGCCCTGCTTTCCACGGACTTAATCTCATTCATTGCTGCTTCAAACTTTGGTATAGTTGTTGCATTCACAGACCTCCAAAATGGTTTAAAGTATTATTCTCCTTTAAATTTTTTGTGGAAATTAGCTAGAATGTGTCTAGCACATAATCTATGCTCCACATCAGGAAGTCTTTCCTTCACAGCTTCAAATAATCCCTGACTCAAACAATTAAATGAATAGTTAATTAGATGATCAAAACAATTAAAGTTAATTGAAAAAAATAGAATGATTACCTTGTGGCTCTGAGAGGATTGTAATGCCATGACCATTCCCCCCTCCAATGTCTTCCATCAGGTTGTCCAAAAACCATTTCCATGTCCTTTTGTTCTCAACATTGACTACTGCCCAAGCTAAGGGATAGATGTTATTATTAGCATCTCTACCCACTGCTGATAGGAGCTCCCCTCTACAAACACCCTTAAGAAAGCAACCATCAACCCCAATTACCTTTCTGCATCCATCTAACCACCCATCCAAAACACCTTTAAAGCTAAAATAAAACCTATCAAACACCACAGCATTATCAGGTTGTGGCTCCAAGAACACCTCAACATGTGAACTTGGATTAGCCCTTTTGATTTCAGCTGCATAATCCCACAATTTGGCATAATGTACTTTCAAACTTCCCTCAACTTCAGACAATGCTACCTTTTTTGCATTCCTACACTGCCCAACATGTTGTATCTCTTAGATACCATGGCTTTCATTTTCCTCAAACTCAGTTTAGGACTCTCCAAAACATCATTCACAAATTGTTTCCCTATCCATTTATATGTTACAATTGACCCAAGTTTGAATGCCCTAGAGCACTTGTGCTCTGTTATAAGAGACTTAATCTGAAAAGTGTGTTCCTCTTTCATCCAGGAAGCATACAATCTAAAAGGGCATGTTGGATTCTTTCCTTTACAACATCTAACTAGCAACCTAGTCTTGTCATTCTTTTCATACCACATATCATAACCATTTGCTACAACATAACAACTAAGAGAGTATTTAAGTTCAACAGTAGTAGAGTATTTCATACCTAATTGAGGCTTCATCTCATTCCATTCTTGAGTATGATCATGTCTTGGGTAGATAGGTCGTATTGCATTATGATCTTCTTGAACCAAGTCATCATTCTGTATTGGACAAAGTTTGTTGAGGAATTGATCATTGAAGTTTCTTTTGAGAGATATAACTTCATCGTCCTCTACATGTTCAGCTTTCAGACCATCTTCTAAAATGGAGTCAACATCATCAATAGAAACCAAATCTTCATCTTCAAGGTCTGCTTCTTCCTCCTGAATCCAATCAAACAAAGGTTCATGATAATGATCCACATACACATCCAGTCTCTTCTTTTCATTGATATCTTCAAGAAACTCGTTAAAAATCGCAATCATTCTGAATAGCATGTAATCCCTCCGACAACCTCACTTCATGTGGACAGTAATACACATCTCTGCATCTTCCGTTAGTAAGCTTTTCAAGAAAGGGGATGAAATCAGGGAAGTTCATCTTGTTCACAACCGTGTATGGTACAAAGGATTTTACTCCATTAAAATACATCAATGGGGTAGGTGTGAACACCCCATTATAGTGTACATCAACGATTGTATCTGCATCTTCTGCCATTGTTGATGGTGATTGTGAGTCAAGAAGTTTGAGGGATTATCGGCTGAGTGAATGGAGGATTGGCTGATTAAATGAGCCCTAATTGTCGTTTCAATGTGGTGTAATTTAACAATATCCACGTAAGGTGACATGTGGATACCACCTGGTTATTTCATTTCAAGAAAAATAAAATAAAAATCGTATATGACTGGTAAACCGGCTATAGCCGGTCAAAAGGATTGCATAATTACAAAAAATCGGGTATAAGGGTTTAATTTACAAAAAAAAGAATAAGGACTAAATGTGTACATTTCAAAAAGTAACTTACCCTATCAAGTCATTATCCCATAAACAAATCAAGCGTATCATGTACACAACATTATGTCGTTGTTGAAGGATTATGTAGTAAATGTAAAATTCCTATGACTTGTATTGATGTTTATGCACTAGAAGAGGCTTGAAAGAAGAAAGTTCTCTTGCTTTCTTTTATGGTTTGAATAAAGAGAAATCAGGTGACCTTTTTTGGATTCAACTACATTAATGAGGTCCGGAATTGTTTAGATAGGTCTGATTCTTTCTTTTGTCAAACAACCGCATATAGTTTTAATAATTTTTTTTTAATTAACTGGGATATGGTTGATGTTCCTTTGGGAGGTCGGAAATTTACATTGGGAAATAAAGAATTGAGTAAAATTGATATGTTCTTACTTTGGAGAAGTTATGGATGTAGCTCAAAAACCATAAATTACTTCAATGACGGGTGACACCACAAAATGGTCAACAAGATAGGGACATGTCCCTCTCATGAATTACTTTTATATTTAGGATTAATATGTGTTGATGTAATCAATTTTCTTATAGGTTTCTATAAAATAAATTATAATTTTTATTTCAATTTTAATGACAAATGATAGGCACATAATAAAGTTTGTTGAATTGTTTGACATATCACCAAATTTGATGTTTTGATAACATGAACTAATTATATTCTCAATTAATTTATTTTTGCTATTTAATATTATTATCATTTAATAAAAATCAAAACAATACCAATACCAACATCAACATCAACACCACCAAATCTCAATTAAGATATAAATCCAAATTTCTAAGAGTTTTATCGTTAAATTAGGAATGGAATATTGTTTCCCTTTGTTTGTTGTTTATTAGGTATAGTATCTCAAATGATTTCTCTGCATGTTTTATAATTTCGTTGTAAATACTCCTATTATACTATGTAATTGGTGGGATGTCAAGTCCACCAAGCAAATTACACTCTTTGTTTGCAAATAAAACGTAATATAATGGTAAAAAGGGGTATCGATCCTCAGGGGAATGGTTGTATTCAATCTAATATAACTAGTGTAAATAAACTAACTAACTACAATTAAACTAAAAGGGGGGGGGGGTTGTTGTGATTGCTTGAAAACTAAAAGACTTGAATAACTAAAAAGCTTGCAATTAAGCAATATGGTGAGATGCTCAAATATTGGAGAGAATTGGTTAACCAAGGCAATTCAACACAATGAACATTTGTGTGTTTATCATTAGGATTCAACATGAAGCTTATCATTCATCCCAAATTGGTTATAGCAATCATGAAGCATGATATGCCAAGATTTCTCATAGGTAGTATGGAGGTTGGGGAAGCCCACAACACACCTTCTTAATCAAAATCAAAGATCCAATTGAAGCAATTGAACCCAAGAAGTTGATTAGCCTTAAGAATGAAGGAATCCCCAATTCTTAGAGGATGTCAATGCTTACACATCCATAAAGGAGTTATGATTCATAAGCTAGAGATGATTTCTACCATCATAAAGCCCTTGTTCTAAGTAAATTCAATGATTCAATGCTAAACCAAAGAAATAAACCAACAACTGCTTATTCAAGTACCAAGCTCATGATCAAAGCATTAAACAAGCATAGGAAATATGAACTAGAATCATAGACATAAGATAAATGATAAATAAACATGAATCCTTTAAAAACCCACAAACATTCAAAGGTTTTAGCCAAGGTTAACCAAAATAGAGAGTTTAGCCAGTCATGGCAATAGAATAACAATCACAAAAGTCTAATTGCATTAAGAAACTAACAATTACTTTGGAAGATAAGAAGAATGTGTATCCAGCTCCCAAAATCACCTCCTCTGGTCTCTAATGGTGTAAAATCGATTTTATGGCTGCTAGATCTGATCCCCCAAGGTTATGGTGTGCCAAATGACCAAAATGCCCAAACTGGGCAGTTGTGCGGGTACCCGCGCGACGAAAATTCCACTCGCGTAATTGTTGTTGTAATGCTATTGGCTCCTCATTCCTCCACTCCACCCTTCCACTACCAAAGATTCCTTTGGTCCCCTCCATATTCATGTGATTTAAACCAATCAATCATCATTTAGCTACAAAAATGGATACTCCAAGCCCAAAATAAAACTTTATGACCCATCTTTACAAGCCCAAAATATCCTAGTCTTTAACTCTTAAGGCCCAAATCTCCTTTGGTGGATCCACCAAGCCCAATAATGCATCATTTATTCGAAGCATTATGGTGGATTACCAATATAACTGGTGACAAAAATGAATTATTTTATCTTTTTAGAGCAAAGTTTTTTAGTGTTGGAGTATATCTATCCTACTGACAAGTACATTATTCAATCATCTTCGGTTGAATCTAATGAATTCTATGAATCCCCATTTTTAAATATTAGAGATTAAAGATGTAGTGTAGGGTTGTGGCAATGACAAAGCACCAGGACTAGTTATATTTAGTAAAAATTATTAATCTAACATTCCGTTTATATTATCTCAAAGAATATATAGTAACTCAAACTTGTTATAAGTCTATTTATAAAATAATAATACTTATGAAACCTTGAACATCAAACCGAACATAGTGAATGTCAACATGGATATCCTATGGACTTTTATAGGTTCACTTGAAAGAGAACTTCAATGATGGGTGACACCACAAAATGGTCAACAAGATAGGGACATGTCCCTCTCATGAATTACTTTTATATTTAGGATTAATATGTGTTTATGTAATCAATTTTCTTATAGGTTTCTATAAAATAAATTATAATTTTTATTTCAATTTTAATGACAAATGATAGGCACATAATAAAGTTTGTTGAATTGTTTGACATATCACCAAATTTGATGTTTTGATAACATTAACTAATTATATTCTCAATTAATTTATTTTTGCTATTTTAATATTATTATCATTTAATAAAAATTAAAACAATACCAATACCAACATCAACATCAACACCACCAAATCCCGATTAAGATATAAATCCAAATTTCTAAGAGTTTTATCGTTAAATTAGGAATGGAATATTGTTTCCCTTTGTTTGTTGTTTATTAGGTATAGTATCTCAAATGATTTCTCTGCACGTTTTATAATTTCGTTGTAAATACTCCTATTATACTATGTAATTGGTGGGATGTCAAGTCCACCAAGCAAATTACACTCTTTGTTTGCAAATAAAACGTAATATAATGGTAAAAAGGGGTATCGATCCTCAGGGGAATGGTTGTATTCAATCCAATATAACTAGTGTAAATAAACTAACTAACTACAATTAAAACTAAAAGGGGGGGGGGGTTGTTGTGATTGCTTGAAAACTAAAAGACTTGAATAACTAAAAAGCTTGCAATTAAGCAATATGGTGAGATGCTCAAATATTGGAGAGAATTGGTTAACCAAGGCAATTCAACACAATGAACATTTGTGTGTTTATCATTAGGATTCAACATGAAGCTTATCATTCATCCCAAATTGGTTATAGCAATCATGAAGCATGATATGCCAAGATTTCTCATAGGTAGTATGGAGGTTGGGGAAGCCCACAACACACCTTCTTAATCAAAATCAAAGATCCAATTGAAGCAATTGAACCCAAGAAGTTGATTAGCCTTAAGAATGAAGGAATCCCCAGTTCCTAGAGGATGTCAATGCTTACACATCCATAAAGGAGTTATGATTCATAAGCTAGAGATGATTTCTACCATCATAAAGCCCTTGGTCTAAGTAAATTCAATGATTCAATGCTAAACCAAAGAAATAAACCAACAATTGCTTATTCAAGTACCAAGCTCATGATCAAAGCATTAAACAAACATAGGAAATATGAACTAGAATCATAGACATAAGATAAATGATAAATAAACTGTAACATCCGGTTTACCAGGTATATTGTTTTGAGTATTTAATTCAAGGACTTTGGAGGGACTCGACGAGTCGGTGCCTCAACTCGTCGAGTAGGGCCACGATTTGGTGACGTGGTTAATGAATGGACTCGACGGGTCGGAGAGATGACTCGCCGAGTCAGCGCTGTTGACAGAAACCCTAATTCTCTCGGGCCTGGGCCTATTTAAAGGCTCTTAAGGCCTTCTATTGCGGCTACCTTTCAGAGAGAGAACCCTAAACGAGTCCTTAGTGTTTTGGGCAAGAGAGAGAGCCATTTTGAGATTCTTGGTGGATGGTTTGCAAGGAAGAAGGAGGTTTCAAGCTAAAAGGAGGCAGAGGAGGTTGTAGATCCGCGATTTACAACCTAGGAGCATCAGTTGGAGGTATTAATTCGGACCCCTTTTCTTCCCTAATTGTGTAGATCTTCCTTTTGAGGATTTGGGGCTTGTATTATCTTCTTGGTGGGGTTTTGATTGCATCAAACCCCTCTTGTGAGCTAGTATCATAGATCTGGACCTTGTAAGGTCCAGAAAGTCAGAAAATAGAAAGCCATTGTTGTGCAACCATGGGGTTTGTAGGTTAGGAAGCTTTAATGGAGTCTAAATGGCATATTGAGCGAAATATGTCATGCATGGACATCAAGATCGGACCTTTACATGTCTTTTGGGTGCTAGAAGGCCATATCTATAAGTTAGAGAAACAGATCTGACCTCAAAAGGTCAAATGAGTGTTGCCATGGAGGAAACTCGTCGAGTCCATGAGAGGACTCGACGAGTCGGATCGTATTGCCCCACGATTTGTGATCAGTGGAAACCCGTCGAGTG